TGCTTCTTCCAGCTTTCAGCTAGTGTTCTGCTTTCTTTAGCTTACAGATAGTGTTCTTCTAGCTTTCAGCTAGTGTTTTGCTGTCCTTAGCTTTCAGCTAGTGTTCTTCTTCTAGTTTTCAGCTAGTGTTCAGCTTCTTCTAGCGTTCAGCTAGTGTTCTGCTTCTTCCAGTTTTCAGCTAGTGTTCTGCTTTCCTTAGCTTTCACCTAGTGTTCTTCTTCTAGTTTTCAGCTAGTGTTCTGCTTTCCTTAGCTTTCAGCTTGTGTCCTGCTTCTTCTAGCTTTAATAGCTTAGTCTCAGCAGTTGTTCGGTGCTCATCATTCAAAATAAACGTTTTCAGAAAATAATCTTCCTTCAGGTTTTAGTGAAAATCCTCTTAGAAAGCAGCTGAAGTTAAAACTTGTGACGCCGTGGCCTTCGGCTGTTCTTCTTGAAAAATAAAAGCTGATAACAGCTAAAGGTCGGTAAACAGAATAACTGAAGTCAAAACTAATCGTGGACGCTTTTCTTTCTCAGAGAACACGATGTCGACACCAGCATCAGAGCACGGCCCAGAGGACGTCAACAACCGCAGCTTCTGGATGGTACGTGCAATGTGTGTGTGTGTGTGTGTGTGTGTGTGTGTGTGGCAGCTGTGTTAACTTCCAGTCTAAACAGTTCTCAGTAGTTTTGCAGATCTTTATAAACAGGACTCTGTTGTCCTTGTCCCCTCTGACCCGACTCGTTTGGATCTTAACTTCTGCACGGACGGTTTCTAGCATTCAGTTCTGCCTCTTTTCTGATTCTTCACAAAGTAGGCGAGGATCGCTTCTTTAGCGATCCAGGAAAAAGTTTGCATGTTGTTTTATTTAAATGTGAACATTAGGAATCTTAAAACAGCAGTCATGACCCAATGATGCTCCGCCCACTTTCTGAAAGTTATAAACAGGTTGTTAAAATTTTCACAGACGCAGGAAAAGTGATGTTTTTATATCGGGTTACTGCATGAGGCTCAGCCTCCATGAGTACATAAGTACATTGAGTACATTGGGTCAAAATACAAGGATTGTAAAATGAAAGAACAATATTTTGTCATTTTCTATCTGGCAACCCTGTTCTGGACGCCTCCTGTTGTGTTTGAAGACCGCTTCCTGTCTGCATCATTCAGCGGCCTGTCATTAATCTGCACATTTAGGAGTTCTTCTTTTTTATTTTCAGCTTTGTCGTGCAGTGGAGACACTTTTTATTCTCTTTATGACAAATCTGGAACAGAAGAACTCCTAAAATATTAGAAAACCGATGAGTTGCCCCTTCCTGAGCAAAAGAAGGAGAAAAGGTTTTCTTCTTGATTTAAACGACTCAACCTCCACCGCCATCTTGTACTTTGAGATAAACATTTAAGTCTTCTGTTCTCAGTTTTGTTTTCTTTTGAGGAAAAGTGGTCGTTTTGATTTTGTTGCCTGTAGAAGATTCACGTCGGCCTCGGAAATCGTCCAACTGGGTCGCTTCAGCGTTTCTGTTGGCCTCAAACTGGATTCCTCAGCTGTTTCTGTTTAACTGGCAGACAAGAAAGGAGAGGCAGTAAAAACCACAACAGGGCTGAAAAAAAAAAGACAGGAGGGAAAGAAAGGAGTACTGATGAGAATGACCTCACCTGGTTCTGATAAAATTAGAAAAAAACCTACAATATCTTTAATAAAACCTGCTCTGTTGTTAATTTAACAGATGATTCTCTGCCGCGACTGTAAATCGTGTCATTTGTCTATAAAATTGTTATAAGTGCACCTCTGCTTAACAATGTGTCCTTGTTAGCATTAAAGAAAAAAAGAATATAGATGAACTTACAACAAAGAGTAACTTTATTAACATTGTTTTTAATCTGTAACAGGAACTAATTAAAGTGCATCAATTTGCCTGAAAAAAAGCTTAAATCCTTATTCAAACTGTAAACATTTTTGACCGTTTGATACTGAAAAATAAAATATTATCAATAAATAATAATACATTCAAATTGATCGGCAACATTTTACCTCAGGAGTGTTACATAAAACACCTTGACCTAAAAAACCCAATAATGAATAAAACAATTTGTGCTGATTTAAAAAAAAAATCAAAATGAGGAAGTCAGGATCAATGAGCAAACTCATCGATAAAACTAAAACATTTTCTTGCATGCGCGCTGTGGGCGACGTCCAGAGCGCATGGACGTAAAGCGCATGCAGCGGAGGTGTCGGAGTTTATTTATCGTCTCAGCAGCGGAGGGGAGCGACACGGTTCAAGCATGGCTCCCAAAACAACAAGACAGTTATTTGTTCATAACTTTTTTATTAGTAAGTCTGAGAGCTACGAGCAAACAGCTGCCGGAACACACACGACAAAACGAGAATGATGAAAAAGACAAAAAAAACAAAACTACTCCCTGCAGCAAAAAAAAGCACGTTCCCCAGGTCACATGCGCACCCCCTGAGAAGGACTGCTTTAAGGAATCTTAGACCTTCATAAGAGCTTCTGATAAAAACAATGAAAGAAGACGTAAGAGGACTGGGCAGTGAAGAAATAAAAGAAGAGTGCGTTCCTGTTAACGCAGAAAGATTCAGCGTTATTTAGAGAAACGTGTCCTCCACTCCCGGCCTTCCCTCACGTTTGTAACGAGTCCAGCAGATGAGGGATCAGTAACATCTGAGAATGTCCCGTTTGTTACTCTGTGGTTTTTACTCCAAGTGAAGCCTCAGATGAGTTAACAAACCGTAACATCTCTCAGTTTGAGGCGTGTTTTTTTTTTTGCCCAGCTGTCTACACGTGTCAGCTGCGACATGCAGAGAGCGAAGAGAAGACCAGGAGCCGACAGCAGCTGCCAGGAAAATACCAAAGATTTCCAAACTCCATAAACAACAGAGTGTTCGGAGCTGCTGTTCCTGTCAGGGCTGAGACGCTGCCGTCCTCCTGTCCTCTGTCTTCATGGACGGGCCTTGGTCTTCGTGTAAACCAGCCGCACCCCACAGAGCAGCTGCCAGTCGACAAGTTGCTGCAGGAAAGTCAAAGTGCTGCTCGTTGTACGTCACATGGCTGCAGCCGGGGCAGAGCTGAGGAACCAGGATGGGCTGAGGTCTAATGACGATGGGTTAGAGGTGAAGAAGCACCAATAGATGTTTATGACACCTTGTACTATTCCATAAAATGACTCCTGCGACAATCTGAATCACAATAAATTACTTATTTTCAAAGCTTTTGCTGGAATATCCTCATTTAACGTATGTTTAGGAGCTAGCTTAGCTTAGCTTGTCCTAAAAATGTCAACATACATATTAAAGCTGTCCTCAGGAACAGAACCCGGAAGTTGAAGCTGAAACCACAGACTAGGGCTCTTCATCTGACATCTTTACATCCTTTTTTGTCATAAGGTAAATATAATGCACAAGTTATATTTTAAATGTGCTCATTGGCAGCAGGCGGTTGTTCACCAACATCTGATGGATTCTTCACTCGCTCCTTAACAAATGCAGTTGATTGTAAACGTCGAGTCCAAACTGAATTACAACACAAATGAAAGGGACTCATACACAGAACCAAATCATGAATTCAGTGATCTCAGTTCCAATTTTTGAAGGACTTGACGTAAAAACTCACACACACCGAACTACGTCACAAACAAGGCGCAGATGAGGACTGGATGCAAAAAATAAATTTAATAAAAGGAAATTAAAGCTGGCAGGGCGGCAAAATAAGATAGAAAAAAAACAATTAGATCCTAACTAGTTAAGATAAGTCAAATATATGTAGAAATAACTCGAATTTTGGCACATTTCTTCTTTTGCCCCCATTAAACAAACAAGAAGGAACTAAATTGTAAAATCAGAGCTTAAAAAAGTATTTTTTTTATCTGACTATTAATGTACAGTACAAGTATTTAGAAACCCCACGCTATAGCCACCGTAGCTAAGTCACTGCACGATCTGTTCCAGGACCGGAAGCACGATCCGTACCATGCGCCCGTACTCTGGGCGCAGGAGAGTTGCGCCCAGAGTAGTCCTATATCTTGTAATGAAGAGGAGCTAACTGTGCATGTACAACTTCTTAATTAGAGTCAATGGGCCAAGATTCTTGCGCCCCCAGGGTGGAAATACGACATCAATCAGTGACGTTTTTGAAAGAAACAACTTTACTCATCATTAATTATAAAATGTTTATCGTACACAACAAAAAAGTATACATACATATATTTGGAAATATTTTACTTTATTATTTCATTTTTATTTTATTTTTTATGTCTTCAAGGTAATGTGGTGAGTGGTGGGGTGGCACCCTAACGTCCTCTATTGGCCAGCCGCCACTGCCTAAAACCAAAACAAAGTCCTTAAAGTAACCCTCCTCCCTGTCAGCCCTCTCTTTACTCTTCTTCCTCTGTGTTTGGTCTCAGCAGCCCGGGAACTACCAGCGCACTGTGAAGCGCACAGAAGACACTTTCCAGGCCTGCAACGACATCGTAGTGTGTTTCCAGGAGAGAGCTCGTGTGGAGAGGCAGTACGCCCAGCAGCTCAATGAATGGAGCACCAAGTGGAAGCCGGTGGTGGACTCCAGTAAGTCCTGCTGCAGCTGACTCACACGCCTGACGCATTAAATGTTCAACCAACCCTCTCTGGCTCCACCAGGTCCACTGTATGGGTCTCTTCTCAAAGCTTGGCAGTGCTTTCTGTCCTCCGCTGACCGGCTGACCTCCTTGCACGCCTCCATCTGTCGCTCCCTGGTGTCGGACGACGCAGACCGGGTCAGGACCTGGCAGAAGGACTCCTTCCACAAGAAGGTGTTTGGAGGCTTCAAGGAGTCCCAGGATATGGAGACCGGGTTTGCGCGTGCTCAGAAGCCCTGGGCCAAAAAACTCAAGAAGGTAAATTCACCCAACTGATGGACTGAAATAGATACACAACTATAGTGTTGTTGCTCTTTTTGTTGATCACATTTTACAGTTTATTGATGATTTCAGTGCTGACAGGCATGAACTGCTTTGATTAGCCGTTTCCAACTCATCGTAGCCTCACTAGGGGTACATCCTTTCTGCATGTGCTCTGAAAATGACTTACCATTTCTGAGCTCATCTGAAGCCTGGTCTAAGAAACATTACTTGCACCTAAAACTCTATGATCACTGCTTGCTCCACTGCTGTTTAATCTTTACTTGCTGCCTTTGGGGTCCATTTTTAGAAAATGTACCATCTCTTTTCACAGCTTTGCTGATGATATTCAGGTGTATCTGCTCATTAAGTTAGACAGGGTCACTCCACTGGAACCACTGTCTGAATTATATTAAAGTCTGGTTAAAACTAAATTTCCTGAATCTAAATGAAAATAAAACTGAAGGTAAATGTTCGGCTCCTTGGCTTCATACAGCCACTCCACCGTCAGGAATCTGGGGGTTATTTTTGTACTTTTAAATTAGACAAACGGATAAATGCAGTTGTGAAATCCAGTTTCTTCCAACCAAGACATTGCCAAGGTGAAGTCACATCTAATTTTCAGAGATCTTGATAAAGTGATTCATGCTGTTATTAACTCGTTTGGACTATTGTAATGTTTTGTATGTTGTTTTAGACAAATCATCTTTGCATCTCTTACAAACCGTCCAGAACCAGCAGCTCAGCTTTTTACAGCAACTAGTAAACATGAACATATAACCCCTGTCCTGGCTTTTCTCCACTGGCTTCCTGTTCACTTCCGGATTGATTTTAAGATTTTATTGCTTGTTTTTAAAGTTTTAAAAGGTCCGGTCCCATCTTATTTATGTGATCTTCTTAACATCTGCACTCCAGTAAGAGGACTCTGGTCTACCAACCAGTTCCTCTTAGATGTCCCCAGATCTAAGTTGAAATCCAGAGGTGATCAGGCTTTTGCAGTTACTGCTCCAAAACTGTGGAATAGTTTACCAGATCGCATACCGGTACACACTTTGTACTCACTAAGCTGGAATGCTGTGTGTAGTACAGAGTTTATACACAGTACTTATCTGGTGAGTAGAAGATACGCACCTGGTACGTATCTGGTTCATAACAATTACTTGTGTGGAACGTACCTGGTACTAATAAGGTTAGTGCAAATTGGGTATGTAACTACATTTGTAGTACTTACCAAAAATGTATTTGGTTCTTACAATGTATACATGGTATTTTACCAAATGCATACAGTTTACTGACATGATATTTACCAAGTGCTGAGCTGGTTTTATCTGGAACTAACCAGGCACTTACAGGGTTAGTACCTCATACCAACAAATGAACATACCTGTTGCTTAAAGGATATGTACTGAGTTTGTACCAGTTACTTGTTGTGCACTAACAGGGTACTTACCTAGTACTTATGAGCAATTGCACCTACATTTACCATGTACTTACCTGGTACTTACCTCGGAAAATGAATGTATTTACTGGATATATACTTGATGTTTGTATTAGTACTTACAGGGTATGTGCTGGATACTTACCTGGTATCTACCAGGTCTATACCTGATACTTACAATGTATGCATCACACATGCATGTATGTATGTTGGTACTTACAGGTACATACATAGTACTTACTGGATATTTTGGCCCATCTTTCGGACGACTGTACGGAATATAATCTCGCTGTACTTTGGTGCAATAATATTAAAGCTTATTCTGATTCTGATTCTGTTCCTGGTGCTTACTGGGTACATTCCAGACACCTACCAGATACTTACCCAGTAAATACCAGGTGCATACAGGATACTGGTACATACCAGATCGTTTACAAATCTGATACTGGGTGCATACCTGGCTGGCACCTAGGAGGTATGTACAAAGTACCAATTACATACCTGGTAGGTACCAGGTACATACCCCGTACTCACAGGGTAAGTACTGGGCTGCAGCTTGCACTGCCACCACATTTGGGATCACTATGGCTCAGTGGTTATAGAGCAGTTGTCCTTCTAAGCGAGAGTCGAAGGTTTGATTCCTGGTAGTATGCAGTCACATGTCAAAGTGTCCCTGAGCAAGGCACTGAACCCCTAACTTATGAGCCTGTGATGTGTCCCATCTGTTCATAAAAACGATCTGAAGTACTGATTAGACTCCACCGAATGATTTGTTCAGATTGTCTTTGTAGAAACGTGGCAGAGTGCTGTACAACTGTGTGGAGGTATGAGGGCCTGGTACGCTAAAAAAAGTGCTTCATTATTTACATTTCATTGTCACGTTACAAACTCACAAGGCTTCAATGTCCTGAACAAAGACTAGACTTTCACAATCATCTCCTCAGAAGTTGAAACAATTTTGCAATAAACAAACTGTGTTTGTTGGTGTTTTCATGAGACCTTTATTAGAGATCACCTTTACGTGCAGCTCCTTGATGGTGGAGGCATGTTGTGTTCACAGCTGGACAAAGCTAGAAGAGCGTACCATAAGGTGAGCCGGAAGGAGCATGCAACCAGGGAGCGAAACGCTCACGCTCAGGGAAACCCCGATGTAAACATCGACAAACAGAAGAAGATCCAGGAGGAGAGAGAAGTGGCTCAGCAAGAGACAGAGAAGGTGAGAAAATGAGAGTCTCTCTATATGTGATCTGAAACAGTTGATCTCCATCTGTTTCGTGCTTTTGTTCACTGACATATACAACAATACAACTTTATTCACAAAGCTCTTTAAAAACAACACTGTTGGCCAAAGTATTTGTACACCAATACTAAAAAACACTGAAATCACTGTAGTAGTACTTAAACAGGAGTGATGTGCTCTTGTTTTCTGATAGTATAGCAAGCAGCAACGTTTTGAACCAGCGCAAGTCGAGCAACGACTGGCTCAGCCCGACAAAGTGCAACGCACTAATCTAAACGAGCTCAGATAAAAGCGTGGATAAAACAAATGTTTCTTTCAGATGTAAAAAATTCACTGACATCCATGTCTTAATTTCTGTAAAACATCCTAACAGTTGGTTCATTCACTACTGATTTTCCTGTTTTCGTGCCGTATAGATTTGACTATCATCTGCATAAAAACTATGTGGAAGTTAATACAAAGAAAAGAGAAGAGGGCAAAATATAGAGCCCTGAGGCACTCTGCAAGTAAGGGGCACTATAGAAGGCCTCAACACAGACACAAAAACTCATTCTGTTACCGGTAAATAGGATTATAACCAGTCCAAACTCCACCCTGTAAGTCCAAGGACCAAGGTTTTGTGACATCTCGTTGTCTTACAGGGTATAAATAGGCAGTCCTGTGAGTTTTTACTTAAATACATAAAAAGAGCAACTCGTAAGATTTTAGAAACCGATGTGTTGGTGAGACAAAGACTCAGAAGAGACAGCAGACATTCATTAATCACAGATAATAATTCAATCAGCAGCTTTCACTGAACAATAAACATTGTTTCTGCCGTTCAGTCCACTGCGCCACCTCCAGAACACGTCAACTTCTCAATTAGAAGGAATTTTTTAAGCCTTTTATATGGTGTGGCTAACAAAATAAAACAAAAGTTATGTGCCACAAAAGATTAAAATGATTTAATTTGGGGGTTTCATACCTTTTGGTTTTAAAAACAGTTTGTCACTCCTTTCAGTGGTCATAATATTTTGGCTAATTGGGATTTTCTTCAGGTTCGTGGACGCTATGAGAAGGTCCTGGAGGAGGTGAACCGCTACGTTCCTCGCTATATGGAGGAGATGGAGTCCGTTTTTGACCAGTCGCAGGAAGAGGAGCGCAAGAGGATCGCCTTCCTCAAACAGGCCTTCCTGTCCATCAACAAACACCTGGACGTCACCACCAACGAGAGGTGAGCCCATCGGTGCCGACTCTGAAGACCACACCAGTTTCTTCATGGCTGTGAAGTTAAACGTGTTCAAATCAATAATTAGACTTAATTAAACTCAATTAAAAGTTGTTAACTCTGTTAATTGTCTTAATGTTTGGTCACACTTCAGTCAAAACCTTTAGGTGGATGTTGAGCAAATGATTAGCCAATTATGAACCTGAACAACCTTTATTACAGTTTGATCGTCCAGATGTCATAAAAACATGGCACTGTGCAAAGTTTTAACGCATCCTTCAATTCTTTATATGCTGTTTGCAAATACCCTTAAAATCTTTTAAAATGATCTCGATTGATGTTTTTTACAGTTTTTCTTCAGACTCTGGCTGTTTCAATCCAGTACTGATCATTTTCAGGGGACTGTTTTTTGATTGTGGAGACACTTAACTCTGATCTTTGGATCATTCGAGCAAAAAAAAATGTTCCTAAACTCCAAGGATAAAGCACATAACAGAAAACATAAAAACACAATCAAACCTCACAGTTCACAGACAGAAGCTAGCACCGTACTTGCCGTCGTACACGTCGCATCAGTCCAAAAATGTCTAATAAAGTGGGAAAAAACATAAATACGTCACTTCGCTGTATAAGTCACATCTATTATGCGTCACCGCTGAAACGTGGGCCGGTGTTGTGCCAAAAATCGATTGGCTGCCAAATGGCGGCTGTGGGAGCGTGCACGGGAGGACTTTAACAAGAATTTAACAAGATTAACACTGAAGCCCCCAGTACGCACGCACCTCTGCAGGGCATGTCCGTGCAAAGCTCAATTTTTACGACCGCGTACACGGTGTCGCACAATAAACTGCCGTGTGACGAACTGTTTTGTATGTGACACCAATTAAATTCCCCTTCTTCATCCCTGATCTGGTTTAATGGTCTTTTCGGGGTTTTTTTTTTACCAAGAGGCAGTGATCTCTTCCTCCTCCGTTGATGCCTTGACTGAAATGGTGAGAAATGAAGGAATTCGTCACGAGCACATTAAAATCAGTCCCAGCGTGGCTGCTGGAGGGTCTGGAGGTTTCTTGTTGGGCTGGTCTGAAGTGTGGGCTGCAGGGCCAGCGCTCCCTGTTTTTAAAAATATTTTAGATCATTTTATGAACAACATATAAACACAGAACACCGCTGAGACTGGGGCTGCCAGCTCTCCTTATTTTTTTTGGACCTGTCAATCAGTCCAGTAGGCGTGTCCGCAAATGACCAATCGGCGAATTCAATTTGTCCTGAAGGTAAACGCCCTTTGTCTGCGGAGCTGCTCTGCAGCCGCTCAGGGTGTATGCTCAAGCATGAAGTCTCAACCCTCCACCTCCGTACGCGTGTACCTCCGTGCGGACGTACGTACGCGGGAGTATACTGGGGGCTTTAAAACAATTATTTGTTTGTTTGACATTATAGTAAAAGTGTGTCTCATTTGAACTTTTCCTTAATAAATGCACTTTAAAGGTCGAATCAGCTTCATTTCGCCTGGGCAGCTGATTTGACGTTTGCTCCAGGAGTTCCAGAGCGAGACGAAGGTGGCTTGGTATGGCAAGCCAAGTGTCTAATTAATAGCCACTTTGACCGATTAATGAGACATTTTGCTTGCCATATTACTCAAGCACCCTCTAGCGGCTGAAACAGGCAGTGTTGAATATTTTCCATGTCACGTTGAATGAAATCGTCAGATCTCAGCCACAAATTGGGTTTTAAATATGAGAAAAAAAATGTAAATGTCACTTTGCTGTATAAGTCGCAGATGTGCTAATTTATGCAAAAAACTGTGACTTATACAGTAAAGAGTACGGTATTTTAATTTTAACCAGAGAGTCACTCAAATGAAAGACGATGCATCACTTGCGGTCTGTCCCTTACAGGAAATACATCAGAAAATCATCATAAATATGTTAAATTATTATGTAAATCTTATGCTTTGAAAATTTCTCTTGGGGTTTTGGACATTTTCAACATATCCATGTGATCCCATGTGACACGTGTTAATTTCCATGTTTTTTTCCGTAAAGGGTCTTAGTCTATTTTTTTCTTGTTTCGTAAAGACACACCAGTCAGGTACTGTTTAGAAGTTGAATACAGTTATTATTGCCAAAGGTGGAGGTAGGAACAACCCCAGGCTGCAGACCAACACGAGAAGCTAAAAAAAAGTTTTAATAATAAAAAAAAAATAATGGCTGCTGAGTCAGAAGAAAATGAATAAAATAACAAAAAAGTAAAAGGAGACAAAAAACAAAAGGTCATGGAGACAAATTGGATGACTGAAGGCAGAATGAGACAGTAAATACTGTAGTGCCAGGTACTTACCTGGTACTTAACGAGTACATTTGTGCGTACAGGGTACGTACTAGGCTGTATTTTTTGTGTTGTGTTTCTGTTCACTGTATTTATCAGGAGTATTCAGACAAAACTGGTGTTTGAAGTTTTATTTGGACTCAGAATAGGAGAAATGAGTTTTTAATCCAGTTCAGACTGAGAACAGGAACTGGATCTGGACTTGAAGTTGGTTTTGTTTGTCTCTCAGCGTGTTAGCCGTGTACCAGGAGCTCCACAACACCCTGATGGCCATCGACGAGCACGAAGACCTCCGCTGGTGGAAAAACACCCACGGGCCCGGCATGCCGACCGACTGGCCTCACTTCCAGGTTGTTGGTTCTGTCCATAGTTTATTTACTTCAAGTTGACATTTAAAATGCCATTCTTTTACATTTATATCTTTAAATCTTTGTAAGGAGTGGACGCCTGAAAAGAAAAGTAAAAAAGGGAAGAAAGAGGCGGTAAAGAAGGAAGTAATAGAGAAAAGGTGAGTAGATTTAGTACAACTAAAACTGATTCTGGGAAACTTTTCACCTCCGGTCTCTTCTGTTCTTTTGCCTTTAAACCTGAAATTTTAACAAATTTTATAAATAAAAAAAAGTCTTGAGTTTTAACCCTCCTGCTGCCCTTAGGTCAAAATAACCCACAAGACCTCTCGAGGCCTCGGGGCTCATTTTGACCCAAATCCAGCAGGAGAAGTAAATGAGGACTCAAAGGTTGATTGGGTCTTTTTTAATCCATCCATCTTTTTTTTATCATCTGAGAAAAACAGAATAAACTAGAGAAATTGCATTTCCTGTGAATATGCAGTGTGAATGCTTCTTGCAGAAGAACTTGCTGAAAAACAGCTAAAATTAGCTAAAACTTGCTGAAATGTAGCTGAAATGGAAGACTAAGTCTACTTTAGCAGAATAAAGCAGAAAGAGCACATTTTTGCAGAATTATGTTTAGATAAGCAGAAATTAGCCCAAAAATTAGGAAATTAGCTAAAAAAAGAAGCTGAAATTAGTAGCAAAAAATAACTGAAAGTAGCTGAAAAGACAGAAAGCAGCTTAAATTACCAGAAGGAAGTGAAAAGAGCTGATAGGAGTTCCAAAAATGTGGAATTAGCTGAAAATGCTAAAATTAGCATAAAACAGCTAAATAGCAGCTGAAATAGCAGAAAAAGCTGAAACCACCAGAAAAAAGCCGAAACGTGCATAACAAGCTGAAATTAGCATAAAGGAATTGAATTAGGCTGAAAGTAGCAACAATTACCACAAAAACAAAATTAATTTATCTGAAAACAGATTAAATTAGTTAAAATGCTAAAAGGTTAGCTGAAAATTTAGATCAAGCTTAAGAAGAAGAAAGCAGAAAGAACACGTTTGCCCATTTTGGCTGAAAGAAGCAGAAATTACTACAAAACAGTGGAAATTATCTGGAAAAAGCTGAAATTAGAAAAAATAACAAAAACAGCTGAAAATTAGCTAAAAAGGCAGAAAGAAGCTTAAATTACCAAAAAGAAGTGGAGAGAGCAGGGGCGATTCTAGAATCTGATCTTTAGGGGTGCTTAGCCCCCCCCCCCCCCCCCAGTGCTGACAATGGCTCTTGGCTTGAAAAACGTAGTGGCCACGGGCGTTCATAATGCGGAAGGTTGGGGGGGGGGCCACTGGGGGTGGGGTGGGTTCCTCCCCCAGAAAATTTAGAATAAAGCAGATGCCATTTCCTGCATTCTGGTGTATTTAACGGGTTGTTAAACATCTACATTTACCTACATAAGTAAACTCTTGATTCAATAACCATTTTACAGTAAATCGCACAAGAAGAAGTAGCGCTAAGCTAACGGCGTGCAATACTAGCTAAGATGCTACAGACGTAGCGCTCTGCTTTACATTCCACAATCCAATAACCGCTTCGTGCAAAAGCAGTTTAGTGTTGACTGATCATAACAAACAAAGATTATTCAGAGAAGTTACAACATATAAAACACGCAAAACAAAGCACAACTAGCTTTAAGCATTAACCTTTAATTTGGAATTAAGTTTGGGTTAATTTGGATGGAAGTCTGACTCCCACACAAAGAAATCAGGGAACTTCTAGACTGGTTCTTTTTTATAATTTTCATGTTATTTACAGATTGGATGCGGCGTGGCTGTAATCTGACCAAACGTTTGCGTTTCTCTTCTTTCATTCGGTGTTTTGTTCAGTGCGGTGATCGGAGGAGTCAGAGTCAGAGCTCTGTATGATTACGTCGGCCAGGAGACCGACGAGCTCTCCTTTAAAGCAGGTAAACTCACACGAACACAACACAAGATGCACATTTACCATCGCCCACCACAAAAGGCAAAGAGCTAATTGACTAATGTTAATGAAACCTGCAGAAAATAATCATTAGAGGTTTATCTAGAACTCCCCACGTCTTAGTCAATCTGATTCAAGATGGCCACCACAGCCTGCTGATTTAAAAATACACAAAAAGCCTGCTTTGAGAAGAAAACCATGCACAATATGTTTACATAAATCTTTTGGTATTAAACATTGGCCTTCCACCGTGTTTGTCTGTTAGCCAAATATCTCATGAACCATGGGATGGATTTTAATGAAACTCCCAGAAAGCTTTGGTTGTCTGTCTACACCTGATTAAGTTCTGGAATCAACTGAATTCAAGATGGCTGCCACGGCTGAACAGCGTTAGCCAACAGAAAAATGGTTATAAATCAGTCAGATTTATAGTTAATGAGCTAAAATCTGACGAGGGAGTAGTTGAGAGTCCAGACGTACTCTGACCATGACAACTCGTTATTTACGATTTTTCTCTACACGAGACGATCTAAAACTCCGGCGTGAAAGGCAGAGGGCGATACGCGTTCCTTTCAGGATTGAAGAAATAATTATAGAAAGGCTAAAAACAAAAGCACCTCAGACTATTATAAATGTTGACGTTGTGCTTTCATTGCCTCGTTTCTTTCCCACAGGTGAGGAGTTTTTGAAGATCGAGGACGAGGACGATCAGGGCTGGTGTCGAGGGAAGAAGGACGACGGGTGGGAGGGGCTTTACCCGGCCAATTACGTAGAGGTGGTATAGTGACCACGAGCAGAAGGAATATGGTAAACACGTCACGTACTTCACTTTGCAGCACAAATAAATGTCTATGAAACAACTTTATTAAACGAGGTCCTTGGCCAAAGATGAAAACTTTACGACACTTTGGGACGTTTGTATCAGTTTGCATATTAAAACCACATTTAAATATTATTGTAATGTAAGAATGCTTTTTTTTGTTTATTTTTTATGGGGTGCCGTTTGTAAAGTTACACGGTCAAAAATTAACAGCAATATTTTTGGTTTATTAGCCTTTAATAAGATTTTTTTTTTTTTAATTCAAAGTCATTTTCACCATGTTATTCATACTTTTATAAATGTCATAGTTCCAAACTAAATATTTAATTTGCAAGCTAAATATTTAGTTTACAAACTAAATACTTAACTGGCAAGTTAAATATTTAGTTAGTAAACTTGATATTAGGTGTAACTTAAATATTTAATTTCCAAACTAAATATTTAATTTCTAAGCTAAACATTTAATTCCTAAACTAAATAGTTAATTTGTTAATTAAATATTTAATTTGCAAGCTAAATATTTAGACGAGAGTTAAATATTTAGTTAGCAAAATAAATATTTTGGAAAATAAATGTTTAGCTTAGAAATTAAATATTTAGTTTGGACAATAAATATTTAGCTTGGAAATTAAATATTTAATTTACACCTAAATGTTTAGTTAACTTGTAAGTTAAGTATTTAGTTTGTAAACTAAATATTTAACTTGTAAATTAAATGTTTAGTTTGAAACTATGACATTTATAAATGTATGAATAACATGGTGAAGATATGACTTTGAAAAAATATTTATATATATATATATATTTTTCTTATTAAAGTCTAAATAAACCAAAATATTGCTGTTAATTTTTGGCTGTGTAACTTTACAAATGGCACCCCATAATTTTTAGTATGTTCAAGCCACTCGGTTTTCAGTGAAGGATCAGAATCATAATGAGGGAGACTGTTTGTTTGTTGTTTGAGCCTTAATTTAATTAAAAAGGGCTTTTTATTTCTGTGTTGTGATCCTGCCATCATCAACACTTGTCCCATTTACTCCCATTTGTTCCTTTTTTTACTTAAATTGCCGTTAAGTTGACATCAGCTGAACGCGTCATCACTTCACTGCTTGTGTTTGAAGGGAAACAACAACCCTCTTTGTTTAAATCAGCTTTTTTCTGTTTGTTGAAATCAGCCGAAAAACAAACATCTGTTTTTTTCCCCACGAGGGCTCATAAAAGACACTCACTGTGGTTGAATGCCTGTTAAATGTTATTTACATGGGAAAAAAACATCTATAATACGTACAATAACCACTTTATATATATTTTTTAATAGTTATTTTGGCTAATTTGCAGATTTGGATAAAAACAATGCTTTTAAAAAAATCTGCTGTTCATGAAAGAAGCACAAATTGTGCTAAATATTTAACTTTATACATTTTTTGTATCAAATAGTTTTGAAACGTGTCAATTTAATCGTTTTAAAATTAAACTTTTTAAACCTGCGGCAGCAACAGTTTATTGCTCATAAAGAACATATTTATGTTTATATTAAAAAGAATGAATCTGTAAATGTGTTGGAGGAAGAAGCTAAAAAATTAAGTCTCTCTTTTACTTTTTATTATGTTGCAGTTGTTTTCAGTGATTTTAAGACGTCCTTGTTTCTAACCTGTAAAAATACATTTTCCTTTTTTTTTTTTTTTACCCAGATTTGAATTAAAAATTAAAAAATGTTCACCTAAAACCTGCATCTCAACGTGTAATATGGTGCCGTGACTTTTGGTAGAGGTACGATTCGCAGTGTGGACAAAATCTACAAAAAAAAAAAAAAACGGCGAGAATATAATACAGCGGAGATAATGGGTTAATCGAAACGTGATAAAACGCAGCCCTGTTTGTAGCTCTGCAGCTCGGACAAACTTCACAGTAAAAACATTGTTTCAAGTTTAAACGGGTCACAGAAAGTTGGACTTTACGTGTCTGATCTGCCTTTTTGATAGCCTTAACCGTTTTTACACAAACGCAGTTTAAATGTTATATTTTTAACAGATTTTTCTACAGAACGATCCAACGTGATGTTGATGACGTCACACTAACGTTGGAGCTCTTTACAATTTAAAAATCTTTTACAAACTTTTCTTACTCCCTAACCCTTTCTGTAAAATCCCCACCGAGCAGAGTCGCACACCCAGACCCTGATTGGCCACCGTTACATTTCAGCTTTTCTCTTCAAAATAAAAAGAGTCATTTTAAATCGTCATATCTTCAACATAAAACGCAGTAAAAACATGAAAATATTCACACCTGTGACCGGTAAGGTCTTCCGCAGCTCACAGTTCAAGCATTTTAAAGATATGATTGATAGTTTCTGCACAGCGACAGCTTGTTTGAGACTTATTTTCTGTCTGCCTGTCATTAACAAGGCCGTCAGGGAGTGACAGACACTGTTGTGTGTGTGTGTGTGTGGTTACCATGGTGACCTAATGAACATAAGATGAAAATCTGGTTAGATGCACACTGCAGTAAAAGTCTTTCCATCTGATGACAGAAGGTTAAGATGACCTGAAGCGAGCGGTTTAAATTTCCCATGATGCATTGTTGTCTCTGTACGCCGTGTTCAGATTTCTGTTCTTAAAATATCTTCCTTTTACAACAAGCACCTTCACAAAGGTGAGAAAAGAATTACCACCAAACGTTTTAATTGTTTTATTCATGTTTTATTGTTGTGAAAACGTGAAGTTTTTGTCTTTTGGAAATAAAATCTGAAGCTCACGAGTCTCGATAACTTTTTTCTTTGTGTGTGTGTGTGTGGGGGGGGGGGGGGTCACATTTTAGTTTTCCTGGTTAGTTTCTTCTGTTTGTGCAGTTTTTACCGATCATAAATCAAAACATTCGACTCGATCTGGAAGAAAAATCTATTTGACTTTTGTATTTTGGCACGTTTACGTAAAAAACAAAACTATTTAAAATAAAACACCTTATAGAAATTATTTGAGAGCTCTTTAATTCGTTCAAAATTTGTTCTCTTCGAAAACTGCTTCAGCAAATTTATTCCACTTTTATTTTCTTATGCTGCTTTTAGCTTTCAGCTGTTGTTTTGCTACTTTTTGGCTTTTTAAGTCAACTGACATTTTTAGCTTTTAGCTGTAGTTAGACTTCTGTTAAATACTGTTTGATCATTTTGTTGTAGCAGCTGTTTAGATGCATTTGGCTTTTATGTGTTTTTAAATACTATTTCAGTAATTTTAGCTTTTAGCTATATTCAGGCTAACCACAAATACAGTTTTGATTATTTTAGTTTCAGCATCTGTTTAGCTAATTTTAGTTTTAGCTACTTTTCTGCTTGTTTTGAGTTCCTTTACCGTTTAACTATAGTTGAGCTCATTTTAAATATTGTTTAGCATTTATTTAGCTACTTTTAACTTATATCTACCATTCTGCTTTTTTGAGTTGTAACTTACGCTCTTCTCCTTTTAGCTTTTAGCTACAGTAAGGCACTTTTAAATACTGTTTTGTTAAACAAGCTGTAGCATCTGTTTATTGCTTTTTAGCTTTTAGCTACTGTTTAGCTCCTTTTTTAACTACAGTTCTGCTTGCTTTGGTAAGTACTTTTAATTTTAACTACATATAGGCTAGTTTTAAATACTCTAGCTGATTTCAATTTCAGCATCTGTTTTGCTAATTTTAGCTACTGTTTTACTACTTTTAGTTTTTAGCTACTTTTCTGCTTGTTTTGAGTTTCTTTAGCATTTAACTATAGTTTATGCTAATTTTAAATATTGTTTAGCATTTGTTTAGCTACTTTTAGCTTCTATCTCTACCATTGTGCTTTTTTTAGTTGCAACTTAATTTCGTTTAGCTTTTAGCTACAGTAAGGCACTTTTAAATACTGTTTTGTTAAACAAGCTGTAGCATCTGTTTATTACTTTTTAGCTTTTAGACACTGTTTAGCTCCTTTTTTAGCTACAGTTCTGCTTGCTTTAAGTAACATTTTTTTTATTTTTTAACTAGGCTAGTTTTAAACTCTTTAGGTGATTTCAGTTTCAGCATCTGTTTTATATTTAGCTTTTAGTTCTGCTTGTTTTGAGTTGTTGACTATTATTCTTAAAATGCAGTTCTTCAGATTTTTAGTTTTTGTGCTTGTTTTGCTTCATTTGACTGCTGTTTTGCTAACATAAGCAACTATTCTCTTAATTTTAAGCACGGTTTAGCTCATTTTAGCTTATAATTAGGGTTTTTATTCTGTTCTGCTTGGTTTATATTTAATAACTCAGTTTCAGCTCCAGTGTTCAGACTGTATTCCCACAGAAAATGCCAGTTTTTCAGGTTAATGCTAAGCTAACAGAAGCGCAGAAGGAGGCAGATTGTGCCTGAGAGGATCTGAGTTCATGACTCATCGTGTTGAGTGTCGGGGTTTGATCCGGGTGTTTTTGCACGTTCAGATCCGGTTTTATTACTCGGACAGTCGTGAGTCAGACGAGGAGCTGCTTTCAGGTCAAACGCTGCGTTTTAGCTCAAAGAGGCCTCCACAGACACAGATGTCCACTCAGATCAGCAGGCCCAGTCTGACCCACATTGAGCCAGCCGAGAGCAACACAATGACACACTACACACACAGACACACACATTATGATGCCATGAACTGAAACAAAGAACTCGTAATGATGGTTCCCTCTGCAGCAACGGGGATGTTTTCACCCTGACGGCTGTTTTGTTGCAGACGGTTTGATGAAAGTCTCTCCCTGCAGCCTGTTCTGGCAACAGAAATGAGAAATGTAGAAACACATTTTGTTATGAAAGTCACAGGAAAGTAAATAAAGTGTAAATGACAGACGAGTAAAGCACAACATTTTACATTAAAGTGTTCGTCATCTAAACAGAGGCAGCTGCAACAAAAGTAACAGCTTAAACAGCTTAAACAGCTAATAATTCTCTGTTTCAGCTGGAGTTCGTGCCTCGTTTTGTTGCATCAGCTTTTTCTTCTGTTTTGCAATTTTTTATTTACGTTTGTTTACGCTCTAGTTTTAAAAAAAAATCAATCACATATAAAAAAAAAAGGAATTTAACCACATGCAG